GGACACTGGAGAAATTTGTATATTGGAGAATATTGTATCTTGGTTAAATTCATTTGGTGGGCCCTGGCCAGGTAGCTCAGTTGGTTGGAGCATCGTTCCATACACCAAAAGGTTGTGGGTTCATTTCCCTGATCAGAGCACTTGGCTAGGTTGCGGGTTCCATCCCCAGTTGGGACATGTATGGGAGACAACCAGTTGATGTTTCTCTCTCATGCCCTAGTTTCTCTTTTTCAATAGGAACATATCCTCGGGTGAGGATTTTTTTAAAAAATTCTTTGGTGGGCTAATGGTATTGTGGTTTTATGGGAGAATGTTCTTACAGGGTATGTGTTGAAGTATTAAGGGTAATATCTGCAACTTTATTTTTTTAAATATATTTTATTGATTTTTTACAGAGAGGAAGGGAGAGGGATAGAGAGTTAGAAACATCAATGAGAGAGAAACATCAATCAGCTGCCTCCTGCACACCCCCCACTGGGGATGTGCCCACAACCAAGGTACATGCCCTTGACCAGAATCGAACCCGGGACCCTTCAATCCGCAGGCCGATGCTCTATCCACTGAGCCAAACCGGTCAGGGCAGCAACTTTATTTTTAAAAAATATTTTTATTGCCGAAACCGGTTTGGCTCAGTGGATAGAGCGTTGGCCTGCGGACTGAAAGGTCCCAGGTTCGATTCCGGTCAAGGGCATGTACCTTGGTTTCGGGCACATCCCCAGTGGGAGGTGTGCAGGAGGCGGCTGATCGATGTTTCTCTCTCATCGATGTTTCTAACTATCTTTCTCCCTTCCTCTCTGTAAAAAATTAATAAAATATATTTAAAAATATTTTTTATTGATTTCAGGAGGAAGGGAGAGGGAGAGAGAGAGAGAAATATCAATGATGAGAGAGAATCATTGATTGGCTGCCTCCTGCACGCCCCTCACTGGGGATGGAGCCCGAAATCCAGGCTTTTGCCCTTGACCAGAATTGAACCTGGAACCCTTCAGTCCTCAGGCTGACACTCTATCCACTGAGAAAAACCAGTCATGGCTGCAACTTGCTTTTAAATAATTCACACCAGGAGACGATAAGGTAGAAAGGAGAAGTATGGAAGCCAGACATCTCAAACATACCCTGTTTCATACTTTTTCTTTTTGAATTTTTATGAGTTTATTTGAACCAAAACAATTGCCGGGAAGCAAGATCTCAAATGCTCCTGTTTCATACTTTTCACTGTGGAAACGTAATTTTTTAAAATGAGAAAAAGAAATCCCTAAAAATTCAAAACAAACTTAAATAAATGACCCTAATTATGTATCAAGTTGGTGGCACAATTGTTTCCAATAAGAAGTATTTCAGGTGATGTTAAAACAGCAGTTTTAGATGATGTTTCCAGTGATATATAGATTCTAACAGAAAAAGAGCAGCAATGAAATTTTAAACTGAGTTCAATAGCTTTTATTGTTTGTTATAATATTGGTATTTTTACTTTGAAAAAAATACATGACGTAAAATTTTGAGACCCTACATTATCTTACTTTGAAATTACATTGCCCTGGCTGGGTAGCAAAGTTTGTTAGAGCATCATCCAGATAGACTAAGGTTACAGGTTCAATCCCCAGTCAGGGCACATACAAGAAGTAACCAGTGAATACATAAATAAGTGGAACAA